CGGGGAAGGTTAAGTGGGTCGAAAGATACGATCTGCTCAGGTTTTGTCAATGTATATCTATATATGTATGTACATGCATGCACTGATAAGAAACCCTGATCCCGTATGTTTTTGCCAACAGAAACCTAAAATCCCTCAAGTAAGCCCTGAAGTGTCCGATGTCTCGCTTGAGCGAGTTGATGATCGGCATTATGCAGCTGCCGCACTACTTGGTTCCGTGTCCAGGCTGCACGAATTCGAATTGAAGCGCTGGGACATAATCTATATATATATATATGTATATGTAGAAACCTATACTATTTAGATATAGATATAGATGTATAGATAGAAAGATATATAGATATATATATATATATATATATAAGTATGTATATATATATATATATCTATCTATAGCTATATAGATATTGATATCTATATATATATATATATACATACACACATTAGCATTGTACATACATAAGAAATAATATAGGTTTGGGATTTTGGGTGTATGTGTTATTACGTGGGCGTGTATACGCAGTCAGGCTTTACAGGTCTTAAGTACATGCATGTATATATACTTGTCGATATTGGGAAATAGTCTCTGGAGACTTTAGGGTTTTAGGGTTCAGTGCTTTCGGGTGCAGGACCTAAAATTCGTACTTATAGGCTGTCGGGATTGAGGGTACACGATTATATAGGCTTTACGGGAAAAACAATAAAAGACTTCATTTTTTCAAAGCTTTGTTCATTTCTGCTTTCTTGCACGCTGTGTTTCACAGCATATTATTGTTCAGGAAGCGCGTGCTGGAGCTTGGCGACAAACTCGACTCCAGTCGCAGCAGCTGGGGCAAGGAGCGAGCTTTCAATTCATGGGCCTTGACGCTACCATGCCGGAAATGTTTGCCAGAACCATACGAGCCACTCGATCGACATGCTTGCGTACCAACATATATGGACAACAAATGTATTATATATAATAGATATAATTGCTACATATGTATATATAGTCTGGCGCCTGCCCCGACGCAATGATGCTGAGGATCACGGTGCCCAGAGCCGCTGCCTCGATCCATGCATGCATGCATGCGTGCGTGGTTCATGTGTGTGTATATATAGATCGATGCATGCATGCATGCATGCATGAGGATCCACTTCCGGAGGGGCTCACAACGTTCACCACGGTGAAGATCGGTGTGCTCTTGCCTCACGAGGTTTTCTCTTCTCTGTACAACTATGGCAAGGGAGAGCTCTTTTACAAGCTTTTATGTGGAACTCCAGATGCTCCTAACCGGCAAAGTAGGACACTTCTTATATGTGTATATATAACTAAAATCACATAAATACATAAATAAACCAATACATATATATATATATATATCTATGTATATATGTGTATATACATATATACATATGTAAATATACTGTATATAGTCATGCATATATGTAAGGACTTGACGACCTTTTGGCATCAAAATGCGTCCCTCTCCGACGACGTGGCTAATGATTGGGGCCCTGATGCAAATTGAACGCATACATATGTTTTCCGGCAATTGCATGCATACGTGATCATGCATTTTTTGGTCTTCGGATGTTGGGCCCGTGCCATATATTAACAGCTTCCCAGGTGAATTTCTCCAAAGTTGTACCTTGGCGCCTGTATGGTGATGGCGCCGAAGCCTTCAGCCACGACCTCGGAGTGCTCGATTGCACAGGTGCGTTAACAATATCGTTTTACGCATGATTTTCGAGGCAATCAGAATTTTGAGCTCATCAGCCTCGTGGCTGTGGCGGCTCGCAACTCTTCCACACTGTGCACACGCATCCCGTATCCTGGCTCTTCAGCATGCATGCAGCCACCGCGGCCTTCACGCGTGCACGCATTGTATTCATGTATACGCAATACTCCATGCATGCTTATAATTTCGAAGGATCTGTCTTCGCAGCACGACCACGACGAACGAGGCCAAACCTGACGCATGTGTATCCCGCAAAGATCAGAACTGCGCAAAAGAGCGGTCCATGTTTTTCACACGTGCCCAGGCTGTGCGAGACACAATCTTTGAGATCATCGAGTGGTCCTTCAGAGCATTAGGCCTGTTGCTTCTTGTCCTTCATACGCGTTCTCTGCTGCACGGTCTGTTCCATCCCTGCAAGGAGAAGGAAAGTTCCCCTCAGCAGATGCTTGGGGAAAACCCTTGGACGCTGCTCGACAAAAAAATGCTGGCAAATTGCTGGCTGCTGGATGGAAGGGAGTTTTCGCAGGGGTTCAGGGAGACCAAGACTATCTCCACAAATTGTTTCGATTCAAGCGCCTCCTGCTAGCACGACGGCAACACATTTTACTTTAGTGTACTTTCTGCTTCTACACAATTAAAAATGTATCTCCCACTGTCTTCTAAAGCTGCCTTAATTGCCTATATAGGCTCCTGGCACTCGAAAAGGGCACACTGTTGTCAGTATTGCGCTGTGCCTCGATCTGCATATGGTATTGCATCTGCATCATGTTTTTTGATGTTGAAAAATCAACAAATTGCAATAACTAATTATACATCCAAATTGACATATAAATGTAAGTAACTATATAAAATATAAATGTATACATATGAATATGTAAATAAATAAATATTATAAATATGAATATTTTGTGTAATTTACTCATATATACATCTATATATATATAGATGTATATATAAAATACATAACGATATACATACAATTATACATATATCATATGTATATTGGACAGGCGACGCAATTTCTTGCGAACGAACGATCAGATGAAACAATGCTGTACACCCACTACGGCCCGGACGCTGCGCATCGATCCACGCAACTCGTCCCATCGTGTGGCATGCATGGATATATCTATATATAAGGAAGCACATGCATGTACAGTGGTCGGCCCTGCCCCCTAATATGCCCTATAAACCCTGAAGCTATATATATATATAATAAATATATATATATATATGTATGTATATCTGTTATGTATAATTCAAATGGCCCTAAACGATAAAACGACTCAACCACAAAACACACTCGTGCCCGATGTTGCAGAACCAGAATGGCAGGATCATATCTTCAAGAGAGGAATGGGTCCAAGTGCACGGCGAAACCATATTGACCCGGTTCACCGGCTTCGCGCCGTCCAGTCCCTGGGGATGCACATGCATGTCGAAAGCATGTATTCAGAAAAATATGTACATGCATGTATTGCGTGCATGAAGCGTAAGGGGTGTTCCCAGATCTGCTGCACATCCTGGATTTGCAGCTGGCGCCAGATTCCATCACCAGCTGCCTATTGGATCTCAGCGACGGCCCTGGCAAGAGAGACCGTGCCTTGCAAAGCCTTTACGATGAGTACTGGAGATGGTGCACTGATGCATGCAACCTGGCACCATATACATGTAGACATGCATGCTTTCAAACCACACAGTGGGTTACAAAGAAGCTCCTCGGCCCTACCTAGCCCCATGAGGCCTTTAAATCGTCATGTGCACGCACGCAGGTTTGGAATATAGCCTACGAGCCAGCAAGAAGCTGTTCACGGCGAAATATCTGGTGACTGGAAACGAGTATCCACACGTTAGCCAAAAGATCCTGAAGGGAGCTGCGGCCAGATTTGTCATTTACTGGCTGCAGTCAGTGACATGGATGCGAGCCGCAGCAGACCCTGACGATGTATTGGCCAAAGCTCGAGCTGCCCTGTTCTCCGCGCTTGCGGCTCTTCTGACGGTCTTCGCAGAGAACGGGCCGCTGGAAATGATTACTATATATATGCTTGTATATATAGACCCCATACGTATATCGATCATTCGAATGTTCGATCGAATTATAAGGCCCCGAGCCACATAAGGTGCAACGGATATATTTATAATGTATCGATCCGTACATATATATATATAATTATATAACACCTGTCAGGCGTTACGTGGACCACTCAGCGGAGGACACGGAGGGCCATCCCGAGGTTGTGGCAGCAGCAGCTTACTTGAACTTCAGGCAGTCCTATAACTGCATGGCTGCATGGGCCCTGGAGCAGCAGCGGCTGCGATACCCGTTGCGGCCGAAGATTCATACGCTAGAACACGTGCTCCTGGGATGCATATAAAACAAAAACCCCAGACCCTGAACCCTAATCCCCTATAGACCCTTTTAGGAAACCCTATAGACCCTAAACCACTATACCCCAATACCCTCAGCGTAACCCTTGAACCCTTTTAAACCCTATAACCCTTAAACCCCTGAACCCCTAAACCCCAATAACCCTAAACCTATAATCATGTCGCTGATTACTACGAGAACTATAAATATACATATATATATATATATACAGATACATATATCTATATATTTTTCTATATATCGCCTAAGAAACCCTCACTGCACGCATTTCCTTTTCTGCAGGATCTACGACTATTTCCCTCACGCCGGAAATCCACGACACTACAGTTGCTTCTTGGATGAGGACATGATATCTCGACTCAAGATGCTCAGCCGCAATCATGCTATTTTCCGACCAAAACACACACGCATGCATGCATGTATCTCTTATATATATCTCTCGGACCTATATATATATAACATATAGAAACTATATTCTTACAGACATTGATATTCTAGATATAAATATATATATATATACATATATATATACATATATCTATCATTATATCATCCAAATCCACACATGTATAGAAATTTTGGTAGAAACATACTCTATATATATATGCATGTATAAATGTAACGTGACCCAGGTCAATCGTGGAGGGCGGCGTGCATCCGTCCACAATGTCTCTTCGAACGATTCAGCGATATTGCCTGCTAGCTGCGCTGCACTGGACGGATGCGTCTCTTGAAGAGTGAGAAAAATGTGTCCGCGTGTTGATACTATATACTTTATATATAAATATATTATAGTTTATTTAAATTATTCGCGCTGGAGGCCGCATTTTTGGGAAATTTGAATTAATATATAGTGGGTGCCACAAATTTTTTTCTGTCGACTTTTCCAGTTAACAGCCACGCATGCCTACAATGGGGCTCCTGCTTGCAAACCGACAATGATCTATACATCCTTTGCTGCATGGGACGGTCCATACATCCTTTCGACGCTTGTTGGCCTGTGCTCCTGACAGGAGTATGCGGTGGACCCCGGCGCCTCGGCCGGTGATCGTAGCCCCACGGCCTCCCGACAAAGTGCCGGTGACCTCGGCTTTTCCTTGGTCTTTCAGCGCCTCACCTGACGCCGTCTTGTAGCGGACGCCGTTGTCCTTTGGCTGCGTCACGTACTTCTCAGGCAGAACGGTCACGGCCGCTCCCGTGTCAAAGTTGACCTCGACGCTAGCCACGCCTGGCGAAGCGCCCAGGCTGGCAGCATCCACGGTCTCGAAGCTGTGCACCGATTGGCGCACGCCTCCTTCGCCCGGGTCCTCCGGGTCTTCTCCTCTTGGGTCGCGGCGGTCGTCGTAGTCTTCACAGTGCACAGTCTCTTCGTCGTCGTCTTCGCTTTTCTTGACCTTCTTCCTTCCTTTGTGCTCTGGATCCCAGGTCGACCCAAGCTTCCTCTTCAGCTTGTTGCGCCTTTGGTTTCTCTTTTGGTTCCTCTTCTTCTTCTGCTCGGCCGCAATCGACGGGTCCGCCGAGTAGCGCCCGGTCGCCTTCGGCCTTCCCTGCTTTTCGAGCTCCTTCCGGTAGAGCTCCTCCTCGTCGTCGGCATCCACGCGGTGGCTCGTCCTTTCGGCTTTCGTGAGGGGGCGGTAGTCCTTTCGCCGCTCGGGCTTGGCCTCCGTCCCATCGCTGTGGATAACCTCCGTGTCGATGCCGTCGACCTCTTCCTTCTGGTTGTCGCGGAAGTCGCCCTTTTTCACTTTCACGTCGTGCCGGGCGTGCCACTTCTTGTCGGCCTCGATCCTCTCCTTTGCTCTTTCGCCCACACCGCTGCGTCTGTGCTCTTTTTCTCTCCTTCGTCCCTTTTCCGCACGCCAAGCCTTCCAGTGGCTGTCTCCCTTTTCCACTTGGCGTTTGTAGCGCACGTCGTGCACCGACTGGTCTCTGCGGTGTTCGGGTTCCTTTTTCTTCACGCCCGCTTGCTGCGCCCTGAGGCGCTCACGCTCCTCTTTCAGGCGCTTCCGCTCGTCTTCCAGGCTCGCGATCTCGGCTTCCAGCTCTGGGTCACTGCCGCGTCCCTCGAGCTTCTCTCTCTTTGTCGCGATCCTCTGGTCCAAGACCGCGAGGTTCGCACGGTTGGTCTCCATAAGACCCGACGCTAGCATCCTCTGCATGCTGCTCGAGGTGCTTGCCGTGATCGCGGTTGCTCCTTCGGTTCGTTCTTCCTGCTTTGGTGGCTTGCTCTTTTCTTCCTTCTTGGGTTCCTCGGGCCCCTCGCTTGGAGGGTCATCCTCGAAGTCGCTTTCGTCCTCGGAGCTCTCCGGCTCCAAGGAAAACTTGTCTTCTTCTTCTTCACCAGCGGCTTCTTCCTCCCTTTGCTTCACCTTCTCGGCTACCTTTGCGCTCCTCAGTTCAGCCTTGCTGGGCCTGTCGGCCCTCACAAGCTTTTCTCTTTCGAAAACTTTCCTGGCGTAGTGGGAGCCCGCTGCTTTTGCAGCTGCTGCCTTGTACTCTTTCATCCTCTTCTTCAGCAGAAGGGACGCTTTGCTCCTGAACTTCAGTCGCCTCGACACGCAGGTGGAGCAGGCCTCGCCTTGCTTCTTCAGTAAGGACTCCCCGACGGTGCCTCTGGGCTTCTTGTCTCGTATGGCATCTTGGTGGGCCACACGTTCCCTGAAGCGCATTCCTGCCCAAGACGCCGGACTCCTTAGAAGCTTTGGCTTTGCCTTTGCCACAGGTCTTTGGCTCCTTGAGGCTCCCCACTTCGGCGCTGTGGTAGCAAGTTGTCTCTCCACCTCTTCGCTTCTTGGCTGCACTTCTTCACTTCTAGGTGGAGGCTTCGAAGGTGGTGACTTTGGTTCTGTTCTCTTCGGCTCTACCTTTGGCTTCGAAGGTGGTGACTTTGGCTCTGTTCTCTTTGGCTCTACCTTCGGCTTGAGAAGCGGACTTTTGGTCCTGGAAGGCGGTGGTGACTTCGGCGGTGTTCTCGGCCTTTCTTGCTTCGCCTTTGGAGGGGTCTTGGGCTCAGGCACTGGTGGCTCCCGGTAGCGCGAAACGCGCTTCCAGGGTGCCGTGTCCAAAGCCTTAGACCTCACCTCCTTCTTCTCCTCTTTCTTTCCGGCCTTTGGCTCGCGCACTCTCTCCGGAGGTCCTCGCGACGAAGACGAAAACGCTCCGAAGCTGGACTGCCCTGGCACCTCGCCGCGGGAACGTCTCCTGGCTTCTGCCAGCTCTTCCGCTTCCTGAAGAAGTCTTTCCTGGCGACGTCTCCTCGCAAGTTCCACCTTTTCCTTCAGGTCTTGGAACTGACCCCTTGCTCTGTCCATTTGCTCTTCCAGAGCTTCCAGCTCCTTTTCATCCTCGTCTTTTTCCTCCTTTGGAGGAACCTTCCTTTTCGGGTTCTTTGGCGCCATGGCCCCAAGCACGGTCGGGCCGGAGCCCTCTTCCCTACTTGAGCCACGACTGCCGGGGTCTGGCTTCGACTCTTTCTTCTTCTTCTCTTTCTCTCTCTTCGGGCTCTCTCTTTCTAACGCTCCCACGTAGAGGTTGTTTGTTTCTGCTTCCTCCCAACCGTCCTCCCAGGTTTCTCCCCAGTCTCCGTCTTCCCAGCCTTCATCCTCTTCTCCTTCCTGCCAGTTCTCGTCCTGGTTTCCTTCTCCTGTGTTCTCTCCTCCTTCTTCTATGTTTCCTACGTGTTTCTTGTTCTTGCCACCTTTCTTGCCTTTTCCCTTTTTGCCTTTTCCTTTCTTACCTTTTCCTTTGTCCTTTCCTCCTTTGGGGCTCCCTCTTCCTCCTTTGCTGCTTGGTTTTCCTCCTTGTTGCCCTGGACCTTTGGGTGAGCCCTGTTGCTGCTGCGAACCTTTGCCTCCATTGCTCCAGCAGTCGCGGGCATAGTGTCCGCTCCTGCCGCAGTTGTGGCACACGACCTTGCTTGCTCCTTTTCCTTTGCCTCTCTCCACATACGACAGGTCCATAGGATCATCCTTGCTCGCCGCACTGGCTGCGGCTGCAGAAATCACCTTCAGACTCTTTCCTGTCTTGTACTCGATGAAGCGAGTCACCTCGTCGAGCACGTCGTCGTACGTGGAGAACCGGCTCTGGTTCAACTGGATGTGAGACTCCAGCTCCTGTGGCAACATTGCCTCCAGTGCTGCCATCTTTATCTCATCAGCCAGGGTCGTTCGTCGCCCTGTGCTGTCCTTGCGCTTCTCGTAAGTGCGCACAGCGTCGGCCCATTCTTCGATGGCCTGAGGGAGATTCTCCAGCTTCTGCTTCTGGGGCGATATAATCGCTCTCAACATCGTGCGCTTCCTGCTTGCAGTCGCAGGATCGTATCGCCTCGTAAGGCGTCTCCATGCCTCGAACCCGTTGTTCTGGCAATTGCACACGATCGTAAATGGTTCCTTCGAGGTAACCATTTGGAGCGCGTTCGCGAGCTCCCTCGACTTTTCTTGCAGTCTGGGAACTCGATCCGCCTCCAACGCCTTTTCTCCAAAGGCTGTGTCCAACTCCTCCGAGGAGAATGGCTTCTCCCTCTCTTCGAGCCACTCTAGAACTTCTTGCAGATCATGGTGGATCGAACAAACGTAGCTCGACATTCGATGCCTCCATGGTAGGAACTGTTCACTCTCACCTGAGAAGGTCGTCGGCTTTCCCAGGCCCTTTGTGTCGACCAAACAGAGCTTCTCGTTTGGTCCTCCTTTCTTTGCCATGGCCTCAACCAGTTCCTTGTTCGACTTGACCATGTCGCTCACCAACTGTGGCATCGTGCCCATCTGAGCCGTCGCCTGCTGCACTGCCGTATGCGCTTGTGCTCGCACTTCCGCAACTTGAGCTGCACTCTCTTGCCGCACTCGCTCAAGTGCTGTGCTTTGCTCGGCCCTTAGCCGATCATTCTCTTCGCGTTGCCTTGTGAGTTCGTTTCTCAGATTCACAAGCTCCTGCATCACTTGCGCTGCAGTCACTTGTGCCTGTTGCTGTTCCTGGCTGCTCATCGCAAACGATTAGCCAGCCGACGGCGGAACTCGCTGCTTTGGACGAAAGTCTGGAGATGCTGGCCCAGGAGGCCCCAAATCCTTTGCAGTCGCCTAATCCGATAGAGTAAACGGATCAAGCGTTCCCAGCGGTGCACAGCGGGAGCTTGCACCACAGCAAAACCTTCGTTGTCACTTTCAGCACTTTCGTCAGCAAGGTCGCGTCTGCTGTCCATTCAAACCGACAGCTCCGCTACCATGAACGGAGTTTAAGGCAGAACTAACACTGCAGGTGCAATCACTTTTGACGGCTTGAGCCAATGTCGCATGTGTATGCTCACTCATTGTGAAACATGTTGTGTGACACCTACAAATCTAAACAGGTTTAGGGTTTAGGGTTTAGGGTTGAAGGTGCAGTGCAGGAACTTAGGTTGTAGAGTTCAGGGCTTTGGGAATTTTGGGCTGTGTCCCAGAGCTTCCGGGAGTCTTGATTTTCTGGTTGTCTGGGGTTTGGGATTGTGGAGATCCCAGGGCATCGGGTTTAGGGTTGAAGGTGTAGGAAAAGGGGCTTCAAGCATAGGGAAATTTAGTCATTTGGCTTCAGGCGAAAACAAACAGAAAAAGAGGCTTCGGGGCGGGTGGGTCTGGTTGAGGGTTGGGGGTTGAGAGATGACAGGGGGGAACTCGAGATTCTTACCCCTATAACCCCGAAAACCCTTAACTCAAGGCTTACGCTTCCTAAGGGCTGAATACCCTAGCCCACAAAGGGTTAACCTTCTTTTTGGCAGCAGGAGTCTATATAACCAAAAAAGGTTAACGGTGAACTACCCGGGGGGAGAATAAGAGAGGATCAGGCCCTCTGCAATCAGGCCTCTACTACTCCCCCTGAAAAGCTACCCCCGCTAGGATTTTCCCCCCTTCAATACCCCTAATTAAGCTTAATTATCCCTCAAAAAGACTTGATTATGGGGGGAACCTAGGGGGGGGGGTAGTATATAGAGGGGGTTCCCATGAACATCAAGCCGGACATGCACAATGCATTCGATCGGGCCTTCCCACCTAATTTTTTCTCCACCCATGCACACTTCAAGAACCCTTAACTCTTAAGCCCCTAAACTCCGCAAACCCTCAACCTTGAACACTAAACCCTTAAACCCCTACTAAACCCTTAAAGCCTTAAACCCGAAACCCCTGAACCCTAAACCCTAAACCTACACCCTGCGCCCTATATAAACCCGAAACCCGAAACCCGAAATCCTAAACCCTAAACCCTAAACCCTAAACCCTAAACCCTAGGTGGGCTTCACAGGGTATGAACTTTGGGAGAGCGAAAGACCCTTCCGACCCTCCGCGACGAAGCGTCAGCGCGGAGGCAGCGGCCGTTGGGACCTCTCAGGGCACGCTTCGGGGTTTAGGGTTTAGGGTTTGGGGGTTTGGGGGTTTGGGGTTTAGGGTTTAGGGTTTGGGGTTTGGGGTTTGGGGTTTGGGGTTTGGGGTTTGGGGTTTGGGGTTTATGGTTTTTGTCTCGAACCGCCAAGGCAGGAGGAAAGACGTCCTCCCGAGGTGATGAAACTTCAACCATCACAGCAGAACACCCTTCACCATCAGCCAGGGATTAGGGTTAAGGCTTTAAGGTTTAGGGTTTAGGCTTCAGGGTCTAGGGCTTTTGTTTCCTGGATTATAGTCTTGCACCCAATGACTTGACATGGGGATTGTTGTAGATAGGGATATCCAGTTTGATGTCTCATTTCTTTCTTTTTCTGTGTTTTGTTTGTTTGTTTTTTTTTTTGTTGTTGTTTTTTTTTTTGGGGGGGGGGGGCGTGTACAGTTTGCTAGGGGTACCTGAAAAGGGACCCAAAATTTCGAGCAACCCTCTACGCACCAACTCGACGCTAAACCCTGAACCTCAAACCTTAGCTTCACCCTAAACCCGCAACCCTTAAACCCTAACCTCTAAACCCAAAGCCCCTAATCCCGAAACCCTAAACCCAAAAAACACCGCCGTAAGTCAAAATACCTCTGAAACCTCACGGTCTATGGTTTCAGTCGCGTTGGCTCCGGAGCTGCGGATAAGGTTTTGGGGTTTGGGGTTGAGGAGTTTAGGGCCCTAAACCCCATAACCCTATATATGGTCCGGCGTCTGGCGTGTCCGGCCCCCCCCCCCCCCCATGGTATGGTCAGGTAGGGGGGGGGGGGCCGACCCTCGGCAAAACCCGTGTTTTGTGAGTGTTGTGCCTTGGGTTGAGGGAGCACGCCCTCGGGAAAACCTATGTGTGTGAGGCGTTTACCCCCCCCCCTCCCCCTCCAGGTCTACGGTCTCTAACCCTAAACCCTAAACCCTGTCAAACCCCAAGCCCTAAACCCTAAACCAACCCTAAACCCTAAACCCTAAAACCAACCCCCAACCACACCACAGGGGGGGGGGGTTAACCCTAAAACCTTTCAAACCCTAAACCCTAAACCCTAAACCTAAAACCACCCTAAACCCTAAACCCAAAACCAAACCCAAAACCCAAAACCTAAACCCAAAACCTAAACCCTAAACCCTAAACCCTAAACCCTAAACCCTAAACCCTAAACCCTAAACCCTAAACCCTAAACCCTAACCCTAAAACCAACCCCCAACCACACCACAGCACCACAGCGGGGGGGGGGGGGTTCCAGACCATGGGGTGGGGGGGGAGGGGGGGGCCGGGGAGCACTGGACCATATATAACCCCAAACCCTAAACCCTGAACCCTAAGTTGAGGGGTTTAGGGGAGGAAGCCGCCGGAGGGTTAGGAGTCTACAGGTTTGGGGTTTTTGGGGTTTGAGGTTTGCGGACTTCAGCCTCTAAACCCTAAACCCTAAACCCTAAACCCTAAACCCTAAACCCTAAACCCTGAACCCCAAACACCCTCAAGGTGGATGCTCGAGGACTTGAACTTGGGAGTGCCAGCTAGACTCTCGAGTCGATGCCCGGGTCGCACGCCTGCCAGTCGCTGTCTTGGAGAAGCTCCGCCTGAAGATTCTAGGGTTCTTCAGGGGGGGTTAGGGTTTAGGGTTTAGGGTTTAGGGTTTAGGGTTTAGGGTTTAGGGTTTAGGGTTTAGGGTTTAGGGTTTAGGGTTTAGGGTTTAGGGTTTAGGGTTTAGGGTTTAGGGTTTAGGGTTTAGGGTTTAGGGTTTAGGAAGTATGCGACTTCGGATGGCTCATGAAAGTGATGCAGGGGCTCGATTGTCTTCAGCCCTGCGTACGGAATCGGACTTTTCGGGTGGAAAACGCTGTCTGCGCATCATGGCATCACGCTGTCTGCGATTGCAGTCCAAGCTTTGCAGTCCGGGGTTCGAAATGGATTTGATATGGTGCTTCTTATAGGGTTTCTTTCTTGGGGGAACGATGGGGTTATGCCTGCTGAAGGGCCCAAGGTTGCAGGGGGCTTCTGATAAGGGACAAACACACCAGGATGGCCCATGAGCAGGATGGCCGGAGAACTTCGACGAAGACTCGGGATACCAACGGGCCGAGACGAAGTTCGACGAAGGCCGGGGGGCCGGGCGAAGGTTCGACGAAGGCGGATACAAAAGGCCAAGACAAAGCCCGAAAAAAAAGCGAGGGTTCGACGAAGGCTAAATGAAGGCCGGAGGTTCGACGAAAGCCACAAGGGCCGGGAGGGGGGTTCGACGAAGGCCAAGGGTTTCGACGAAGGCTAGGGGGGTTCGACGGCCTTTGCCGAAGGCTGTGTGCCATCCGCCCCCATACGCCGTCCTGATCGGTTTGCCCCTGATCTGAAGGTAAAGGTCTAGGAACCACGGACTGAAAAGCAGGACTGGCAGGAATCTTGCGACACGTTGTACAAGGCGATGTTGGCCTTGAATACGTCCAAAGCTGCAGAATACACGACTTCATCAATATCATCATGAAAGCCCATGAGCTCAGATGTGTCATAGTCCACGGAGGCATTCTTGCCTGGACTCGTTGGCCGAATGTCTTCAAACTCTGCCGCATGACAATGTCCCCCAAACATCTTGTGGAAAAGGCAGACGGACATGTCCCACTCCTCCGTAAGGCCCACAAAGGCGAAACCCTCCCGCACTCGTCGGGAAGCTTCCTTTGCATCCTCGGTGGTCATGGGCCTGCGGCGGGCCTCGAGCGGAAATCCTAGCGGGTCCACTTGTGTCAGCTGGTAAGTCATGCCCCCCTTCTCTAGCTCTGCATACTCCAGAAAGGGCGGCAGCGTTATGTTATTCGCAGCGGCGGACCAGTCAACGCAACCAGGCCCATTGCCCCAAGAATGGTACACTGAGAGAAGCCGTTGATCGGGGTCACGGAAGAGCCCCACCAATCGACCTTTTTTGGCCGCGTAGTCGGTGTAGTTGCCGAGGGCCTGGTGTGGAGGAAATACGCACTCCATGCCTGAGCACCATGCTGGACACACATCGGTTAAGAAGATCGGCGCGAAACAGGGGCCCAGAGTCGTGCTGTCGACTCTGTGCAAAGCCAATCCTGGACAAACACCAGGCAAGTTGATCAAGCTGTTGACGAAGGAAGTTCCACATTTTGGACAATGGAACCTCAGCTAAAGTTGCAGCAGGAGCCTCACAAGTCAGCCCTGAAAGCATACAGCCATGAACAAAAACACTAGGAGATCAGGTATACACAGCTGCTCGGCGCAGTTCACACAAGCGGCCACCAGAGAGGCTCCGCAGCATTTCGGCGCTCTTCCGGAAGCCCAAGTTCTGTCTCCGTGCCTGTCCAGAGAATGGTCATGATCACCCACTTGGTTTGTCATCGCTTAAGGACCTTCCTCGCTCCCCGTAATCTTTTAAAGGCAAAGAAGAATCGAAGAACCGCCTTGTCCCGGTGCACTTAGTGTACTTGCTATGCTGTCCACAGAGGGGGCACAGTCACGAAGGGATGGAAAAGGACAACTCGATGAACATAATCTGGGTTGTTGTTGTATTCCTGCAACGTTTGGCTCTCTCCGTGGCAAATGGTCGCTGGTCCACTAAAGATGTCGGGCTGTTCTAGAAAAGGGTCCATTTTCGAAGCCTGCTTTTGCCATCAAGGCTGGGGACGAGCTGCACTGAGCCCAAGAAGAAGCAGAGTGCCAGGGACATGCCATCGCATCTGGAGTCTTATGTAGGGGATACTATACTTCTTGTTTTGGACGATCCAGGAACAAACATCCGCCGGCGCTTTTGAAATTCACAAGGTATGGAATTCGGCAGAACGAAAAGCTGATTTCCCGCCTGTCAGAACCAGCTTTCGTTGAAGCAGCTGGGTCGCCCAAATGTCATCACTATGTGCTGCATCCAGAACGCAATGCAGCGCAAGAAGCCAGAGAGTGAGGGTGGTCTTGAAAGCAACGGACATGGTGCGAGATGAAACGGTTCGAGATCGGCTATAAGAAATTGTGGCTTGAAGATGGCAACACGCATACATTCTTTTTTGCGCGGAGGCCAGCTGGGCAACATGTTCTGGGATCATGATTCTTGGAGTTTGCGGACCCTAGAGCCACGGCCTAAGCACCTGAAAATCAAAGCCTGAATTGGCATGTCATGCGCCCTGCTTCCTGCCCTGAAGCCCTAAACCTTAACCGCTGAAACTTGCTAAACGCGCACAAACCTTGAACACTGCGCCCGCGCAGGGCATGCTTCAAACTAGTGTCTCGTTTTTGGGGGCCTCTAAAGACATGAAGCTTTGGAGAGCCACCTACCACAGGGGACACTGTTCTTTGAACAGTTTTTTGGCATGGAAGAGCAGCAACGCAACTGCAGCCCTGGGCCCAACCAAAGTCTGTGATAACGTGTAAAAAGGGGCATCCGTGACCCTGAGCAAACAGAACTACAGCCGAACAATTCAAGTGCCTGAGTTTCACGATCCCCTGGCGCCCTCTTTCTATGCTTGTAAGGTTGAAACCCTAAACCCTAAACCCTAAACCCTAAACCCTAAACCCTAAACCCTAAACCCTAAACCCTAAACCCTGAACCCTGAACCCTGAACCCTGAACCCTGAACCCTGAACCCTAAACCCTAAACCCTAAACCCAACCAACATCTATGAAGCCCGACTCCCGGGTAGCTGAGGTCCAAACCACCGCAGCCGCATGCTCCACAGCCTAGACAATCCAGTTTAAGGTTTAGGGTTTAGGGTTTAGGGTTTAGGGTTTAGGGCTCCCAGCTCTCAAGCCCCGCCCCCTTGCCCCTTGACTTCGGAAACCCAGAAATGGTTGTCCGCGGAAGAAGCTTGGAGGCGTATATCGAGCCAGATGGGGATCGTATCATAAGGGGGGGAGGGTGGGGGCTTAGGTGAGAGCTCGGCTTGTTTTCAGCTCTCAAGCTCCCAAGCCCCAGACCCTAAACCACCTAAACTTCTAACCCCTAAGCTCCTACGTAGCCCACAGTCTCCTCCTGAAACCCTAAGCTCTAAGCTCCAAACCGCTAAAACGCAAACTCCTAAGCTCCAAAGCACTGCACGGCCAAGACCTGAGCCCCTAAACCCTAAAACCAAATACGAAGCCTCTCAACCCCCTAAGCCCTCAGCGCCCCGAAACTCCGAAACCCTAGGGTTTAGGGTTTAGGGTTTAGGGTTTAGGGTTCAGGGTTTAGGGTTTACGGGAAGCCCTGACCCAGCTCTCCTCAAACAGCTCAGACCCCGAAACTCCTCCGCCCCTGCGCTCTGAACCCCAAACCCTAAAACCCTAAACCCTAAACCCTAAACTGGGTGCGCCGGCTGCGCTCCCGAGGTAGCCAAGAGCCTCGCAGGCGGCCTTCGCCGAAGATTGGGCTTGGGCTTCAGGGTTTAGGGCCAAGGTCGGGTGGGGTTTGGGGTTGGGGGTTTGGGTTTAGGGTTTAGGGTTTAGGATTTAGGGTTTAGGGTTTAGGATTTAGGGCTTAGGGTTTAGGGTGTAGGTGTAGGGTTTAGGGTTTAGGGTTTAGGGTTTAGGGTTTAGGGTTTAGGGTTTAGGGTTTAGGGTTTAGGGTTTAGGGTTTAGGGTTTAGGGTTTCGGGTTTCGGGTTTCGGGTTTCGGGTTTCGGGTTTCGGGTTTCGGGTTTAGGGTTTACGCCGAAGATTGGGCTTGAGTGTGGGGCTTCAGGGTTTAGGGTGTAGGGCTCTTAGGGAGTTTAGGGCTCGGGGATTGAAGGTTTTGGAGTTTTGGGGTTTCCTGGCTTACCTGATGGGGTTTTCGGGGTTAGGGATCAAGGCTCAGGGGCTTCATGGGTGGGGTGTCGGCCGAATTGACTACGCAAATCCTTGTCGGACAACTTTGCAGATCTATAGACCTACAAAACCTCATGAGCCCTATCACCCCTCTAAACCCGAACGGATCTCAAACAATCGAAACAGGCAAAAAGCCTGTGGAGCCTCACAAAGCACCCTAATCGCCGGAGTTTCGGGTCACATGGCAACTCTTGCTGCACATGAATCCTACGGAAAACACTTGAAGTTTAAGGTTTAGGGCTTCAAGGGCTTCACGATGCCGATTGCAAAGACCTGCATTCCTCAGCCCGGCAGCCTGCAAAAGATCACCCAAGCTCGGGGCCACTCTTACGCCTAAGATTCAAGGGGGTGGACCCCCAAAACCTCCATTCTCCAGATTCGACTCATATACATAAACCTCACCTGAACGTAAAACTTAAAACCCCACCCCAACCCCTACACCCTACCTTCCGTCCCAGAAAGCTCCTGGTCCTATCTAAAGAAACATAGACGACGGCCTCAACCCTAAGCCCTCAAGAAAAACATTGGAAACAAGACATCGGCCTCCCGTTCTCGGGGCTTCTCTGACCCCAGCGAAGCTGCGCAGAATTTCGCGGCCGTCGGGCCTGTCAGGGCAGAGATTTGGGAGGTTTAGGTCTAGGATCCACAGAGTGTATCGGGTTTAGGGTGCGCCCTGTACAGAACACCCCCACCCCCTCCCTCCCCCCCCCCACATGCTTGCCAGGGTTGGCCAAAACCTAAACCCAAAACCCTAAACCTGCTGGTTCTTCGGAAAATCCGGAGCCCTGAAGCAAAATTTCATTGACTCGGCTCAACCTGAAATACAGCTGGGAAGGAGCAGGTGCTCAAGCCCGAGCCGGCTTGCGCAAGCCTTCAACCCTGCACTCCAATCCTTAAGGCCCTAAACGTCAAACCCTTAAGTGCAAAAACCCTAGAGCCCTAAACCACCCTAAACCCCTAAGCCTAAACCCTAAACCCTAAACCCTAAACCCTAAACCCTGAACTCTAAACCCTCAACCCTAAACCCTAAACCCTAAACCCTAAACCCTAAACCCTAAACCCTAAACCCTAAACCCTAAACCCTAACCCATGAAAAGTGCAGGCCCTTGAGGCGGAGACCAAGCTTGGCAATTGCAGCGGTCGCGGCCATGCGTACCTTATGGCTTGAAAGGTAGGACACCTTTTCTTGTTTTTCTTCGCCTTTTCAAGCACTGGGGTGGGCTTGGGGGAGTCCCCACAGCGGCTGCCTGGTAGAGCTTTGGTGTTTTAAGGTATTTCGTGGCTTCGTCAGTAAGGAACGTCCCCGCAAAACCTACAGCAGACAGCAAGCCGGAAACTTGACTGATGCCATATGACTGTTGAGAGACATGACAAGCACTTGCAACTGCACTGACGTAAAGGAAGAGTACCGGGGCTAGGCTAGAAGCTATGACCCCACAGAAGGCTTGTCTTGTTTTTTGCTCATGCCATTCCCCGCTTGGTGGGACTTTGGTGAAGGGCAGTTGGTGGCTTGCTGCCCTTGCTTTTCTGGTGAGCTGTCGCTCTTCGTCGTCTTCTTGATACTTTCCTTCTGTTGTTTGCACTCCAGGCCTTTCTCTCCCTCTCCCTCCTTGGTGGGGTAACTGCTTTCTGTTGGCTGCTGACGCGACATGTTGGGGGGGGTTCGAAAAATGAGCGCCGTCAAACTGTAGCACAGGGTCACTAGAGGCTGCACTCACGCTAGTAGAACCTTACTAGAATCTAGAACAATGGCAGCTGCAAAGCAAAAGGAGGCCAACACCAACAGATGCCTGTACGACTAGGCCGGGAACTCAAGTTGTGTTTGGTTGAGACAAAGTTTAATGGCTGCCCAGCCAAGAACGAGGACCAGAGTGTCTCACAGAAGAGTTCCTTCTTCACGCAGAGGTAAGGGCAACCAGACGCCTGATAATTGGTCATGATCTCAAAGGGTCGTCAGTACCTACATAGTAGAAAGTAGGGTCTCTATAATAGGAAGTACAACTACGGTTTGGGTAAGTGCCTCTCATATGGGTACTTGGGGATGATTCTCTGATAACTAGTCATGATGATTCGCTTGGGGTCCCGCAGTCGTCTCCGCATCACCGAGTAGGGCGGCCAAAGCCTGCGAAGCCGCGCCAGGGTCGCGACACGCGCAGTGACCCGAAACCCTAAACCCTAAACCCTAAACCCTAAACCCTAAACCCTAAACCTAAACCCTAAACCCTAAACCCTAAACCCTACACCCTAAACCCTAAACCCTAAACCCTAAACCCTAAACCGAAACCCGACATGCTTGAAGTCACAACTCTGCGAGATTCTAAGGTTGAGCTGGGATCAGTTGGGGGTTTCCGAAAACAGGGGTGCCCGTCAAATTCATGTCAATCTTGCAAAACATCAAAACCCTAAACCCTGAACCCTAAACCCTAAACCCTAAAACAAGTACCGTAGGGGCCTAATTCTAATGAGAATGGGAACTCTGGATGGTTAGGACTTTTCGGGGAGCATGACCTCAACTGCCAGCTGCCACAGCCTAGAAGCTTCAAAAAACCCTACAAAGCTTGGTTTCGGGTTTTGGGTTTAGGGTTTGGGGTTTAGGGTTTAGGATTTAGGGGTTTAGGGTTCAGCATCTCAGGTCCAAGCATTCACTAGTTGAGCAGCTTTCAAGGGCACAGGGGAGTAGCCACCCGCCCATTGGGTCCCACACCATTAAGAAAAATATCCAACCTCCTCTTCCCGTTCCCAATCACTCCAAACTGTGAAAAATCCAAAACCCTAGACATAAAACTCCAAAAAAGAATGCTCAAGCCGAGAAGTGAGGGACAACGCCCACCAACTTGGTGACAGCCTCAAGAACCTTTGTTGAGCCTTCCTCCAAAGGAACCCTTTCCGCAACTACCCCAAGTCCGAAGCTGTAAAACCCCTATATAATTCCTCCTAAACCTTAAACCCCTTGACATAATTTGCTGCAATCGACGGCGCCGTGTTGTCAGAATCAAAACACCAGGCGTCGATAGCAGCAGATTTTGTCCACACCCTTTCTTGGCAAAATTTGCTGCAATCGACGCCGCCGTGTTTTCAGAAGCAAAACACCAGGCGTCGATAGCAGGAGATTTTGCCCACACCCTGTGTGAGCAAAATTTGCTGCCGCCGTGTTTTCAGAAACAAAACGCCAGGCGTCGGTAGCAGCAGATTTTGTCCACACCCTTTCTTGGCAAAATTTGCTGCAATCGCCGCAAAACACCAGGCGTCGATAGCGGCAGATTTTGC